TGGACTTAAAAATCCATACACTCAAGAATAATACCGACCAACTTTATCATATTACCAACTAAGATATGTGTATAAAATTGATTGTTTTTCAATTTTTATTTTCTTTAATACCAACTACTAGTACGTTGCAATCTTAATGAGTAAATATATTTATTTTTTATGCCGACGGAATCTCAATGACGCTATATGACATTGGGTAGCTTCTCGCTATGTTATTTAGTTTATGTTTTTAAAATATTTAACATATATACTTGAAAAGCCGTCAAGAATTTCGTTAATAGTGATCGAAGGCTCGTTTAGTAAAAATCCATCATCGTAGCTGCCATATTTAGTAGTGTGAAGAGAGTGAAGAAGCTATTAAATTTGCACTTCCAGGGCATGTTCAAAAAATTAAAAATAAAAAAAATAAAAAAAGAAAGAAAGAAAAATGACGAGGTTTCTTTATGCACATAATGGGAAGCGAAGAAAAAAATAGTATCAAAATTCATTCTTGTGAACAATGGTGTTCTCAAGGGAAAAGGAATGATACAGTTTATTATTATTATTACTCCTCCTCCTCCTCCTCCTCCTCCTCCTTTTAGTTAGGTTTTGAATTAATGAACTATCATTAGTGGCTTGTTAGACGTGCACTTTAATTATATTCTCTTATCTATTAAAGCATCGCCAAAAAAAATTTTATTTTTAAAAAGCATATTTGACAATTTAATTTAGAAAGCATAAAATGTTAAGTGCTCCAAGAGACTCTTTATTTTTATCACTTACTTTTATTACTCCCAAAAAGTATTTATTATTTTTCTTTGTCTTTTATTTTCACTAGTTTCTCTTCAAATTATTTTCTACATCAAATATTGAAATAATTTGAGTGCATTTTATTATAGAAAGTGAGTTTGACTCTCCATATTTTTCTCTATCTTTTGTATTCACCAACTTCTCTTCAAATTATTATACTATTTTTCTACAATGAAAATTGAAATAGTTTGAATGCATTTAATTATAGAGAATGAATTTGGCATTCCAAAATAGAGAGAGAGAGAGAGAGAGAGAGAGAGAGAGTCAAACTCACTCTCTATTTTAAAATATTAATTTAAATAGTTTTTTGGAACAAAATTTTAAAAGTAATGTTATTTAGCCCTATTGGAGTTATAACCACAGTATAAGTGGTGTTAATATGGCATTAAATGATATGTGGAATTAAATGAGTCATTTAATTTCACATTTCATTCAACTTATCATCTAACACAATTTAGACTGGGGTTGTACCCTCAATGGGATTGCATAGCATTATTCAAATTTTAAAGGTTGACTCTCTAAAATAGAAGGAATCTTATATTTAAAAAGTCTCTTGAAAATATTCTTAGAAAATATTGTGGAATTCATGGAATAACCACTTCAACAGCGGGTCTAGTATTTCTATATAAGCACACTAATGATAAATGAGAAGTGAATAGATTATTTTGTTGCAAAAAATGTGTTTATCTTTGAGGTTTAGGTTCCTCAAAAATCAAATCATGGAAGTCAAGTCTCTCTCAAACAAGAGTATTTCTTCTTTTAATTTTTTTTTTTTTTTAATTTAGAAAGAAAACGTATCACATCTCTACTTGATCTAATTTTTATAATTTAGAAAGAAAACGTATCACATCTCGACTTGATCTAGTATTAAAAAATAAGCTCGTGAACATGGTTGGTAGGCACAACATTTTATTTTATTTTAGTGATAAATATGCTATCTTAATTTAATAGCAATACAAAAAACAAAGATAGACAAATATTCCACCGTTAATCATACATTGATTTGATCTTGTAATTAACAAACAAAATATTTTTTAGTCCATGATTTAAGTTCATATTTTCATAGACACGTTTCCTACCTGCCCTAATTATTAATCTCGTTTTCATGCATATGACAGTGGGACTTGTCCCTTATCGACAAGGTTAAACAATTAATGCATAAAAATTATTTCTAGGCACAAACCTTCTTATTGTTTTTATTCTTGGAGTGGCATGAAACTGCCGACAAGTTCGATATTGCATTAGATGCAAAGGTTTCAATGGGTCCTTAAGTTGCTTATAGGTCATTTTCATGCTTCCATAATTGTATCTCAAGGTTATTGATCTTCCCTTTTCATCATTTATCATTGTTGACTTTTTTCTACGTCTAAGAAAAATGACATGAAATGTGTGTATGAGGTCGATACTGGTGTACTAGGATATGAGTAATGATACACACTGTTGACGTGTTTAACAAGTTGAATTGTTGAATTAAGTTGAACTTGATTTTAATCCAAGATGCAGAAACGGATCGTCTCTTCCCTTCAATATTTCGAGGAAGAGGAGACAGTGAAAAGATTCCAACGGCAAGAATCTCTAAGAAAAGTACCAACTTTTTGTATACATCTAATAGAGCCCATTTGGCTAATTAATTGGCGGAATAAAGATAAATAGAGGAACCTTAGTCGCACTGAGAAGCATGCAAAAGTACACGCAGCTGCAGTGTGATGTGATTCAGTGATTCATAACAATGACACCAGTTGGTGTCATTGTAACTCACTCTTTACAGCAAGTTCTAACTCTAGAAAGAATAAAAAGAAGATGAAGACTACAGGTTAATTTGCATTTATCCTCAAATCAGTTTAAGCACGTGTTTGGTACAATTTACGGGACGAGATTTTGACATTATTATCTAAATTCTTAATACTAACCCTTGCTATCTAAAACTTATTACCAAACATGTTATAAGAGTTTTATTCACTAAAATCATACACTTCAACTGATTGATGGATCATTTCATCCCCAAACACAAAGGAAAGATGAAAGCGACGGTCACGGACACGATGAATCTTTCAGAATACCTTAGCCAGATCGATGGCCAACGATGGACAGCAAAGCTTTCTTCGTGATCAAACTCAATCGTGAAGGGCACACTTCCTGATGATCGTCATCCAACATTGTTCCACGCCTTGAAAATTGTCTTCGTCCTTCGTGGACACAGGAAGGCGAAAACGTTGCATGTGATGAAGTCGACCACGACATCGATGAAGAAGAAGAAGATGACATTCCAAACTGGTTAACTTTCTTTGGATTGATTCTCCTGAGTAAAGTGTACAAAAGTTTTGATCGTGAGTTCCTTTTTATGGGTTTATTGATGTTGGTGGAATAGTAAGGAGGTGGCGTAAGAGGAGGAATTAAAGAGGTGTCATAGAATGAATGGTGTTTGGGGGTGCCAGGGCTAGTCTCCCACATGAAGGGCACTGTACCAGGTACATCTCCATAGTAAACCCTAAATGAAGGGTTTGTTTTTGAGGTTTCCTTCGTAAGAAGCCTTGAGAAAAACTTGTCATCATTCTTGATTTCAAATGATCTTTTCTCAAAATCTGGGCTGCTGCCAATCGGCATAGTGAGATTAATGAAGTGAATGCTGGAGAAAGAGAGGAGAGGTTCAGCTGTGCAGTTGATCAATTGATACGCGCGCACATATATAATAGAGAGAGAGAGAGAGAGAGAAAGAGGGACCCTGGTTATGGACATTAGGCCCCCATTTGATCTCCATTAAATTAAATTACATTACATTCTATTTTTCTCTCTCCTATTTTCAACCACACAATCTTCCATAAAATAATATTACACGTAAATCGAAAACTTTTTCTTCTTTTTCAACCACTCATTTTTCTAAAAAATATTATTCTTCCCATTTTTATTTTCAAGTAATGGGAATCAAACAGGGGCTAAGTGATTGGGAAAAAGTTGTTAAAAAATAAAGTTGAAAAGCAATAATTAATTTTAATTATATACTTTCTTGGATCTAGAATTTTTATCAACTTTCAATTATAAATTTCATCAATTTTTATCAAAATTTGTTAAAACTTTAATTAGACACTTCGCCATTAAATCGAAGTAAAATTTAATTTTAAATAAATATAAAATTTTGCCAAGTCCTGCTTTTGACCCGCCAAATATATCTTCGAATCATTTGAAAAATATTAAATACGTCAGCAGTAATGACGTGATCTTCTAGAATCAGCACTTCGACAGCATTTTGATGAAATTGTTATTAAATACATGATTACAACAAGCTGGACACGTTTCATAGATTCCAGCAGCATAGAGCCCATGTTTGTTTTTGCTAAAAAATAAATAAATATTTTAATATAAATTATTGAAATGTGTGATTAAAAAAATTGTTTAAATGTGAATTTATAAAATATGCAGTTAAAATTAATTATTAATTTTGATTTAATTTTTATATACCTTTGTAACTTAACCGAATAGTGACATATAATCATGAGTTTTCTATTCCTAATTTGCGATTAATGTAGTGTGTTACGTGTTGACACACTTGGCCAATCCACTGGGACTTATAGATCATTCATGCCGAACCACGTGGCACTCCAGTCGAGGTGATATGTATGGTCGAGGCCCTTTATACTGAGGCCCATATACCGAGACCTTTGTGAAGGTAGCCGAGGCCATGATGCGAGAACACTATGAAAAGGTAGCCGAAGCCCTAAAGCGGAAGTATTATATGAGTGGTCGAAGCCCTGAAGCCAAAGTAGAAGCCCCCGAACCATAAATGACTATTTTCCATGATCACTTCTCCCAAGAGATCTTCTACATAAGGATCTTGTTTGAATGATTGATGAGACGTTTGTCAGATGTGTAAATGTTAAGTTTTGTCACTAGTATGGGGGTTCTGCATAAGCAATAAATGTGTAGCAGCTAGCAAGTGAAGAATGATGCCTAGAATTAGATGTTTGAGTTAAGAAGATAAGGCCACATGCCTCCTCATCCAAGGGCCACCATTTCACAGCTCCCACTATAAATACTTCCCTTGTGTAACTCTAAACGGCTAATGTAAGAATCAATACAAGAAATAACACTTTACTCAAATCTCTCTTATTATCTTACAATACAATACGAGTTTACACATTTTTACATACACATTTACAAATATCGATTGGTAATTATTGTACAATCGGTCTGCGAACATCTCGTCGGATTCTGAACGTTTTCGTCCTGTGCCGTTGAGCTACTCTCACGCTCTTGATCTGTACATTTTAGACCATCCACGTGTCTTTGCTTGGACTTTCGCTTACGTGTACGCGGATGGGTCCGGCATCTGTTGGCAACATTTTTGGGGTCAACAGATTGACGCTATTTGTGGGAAACCATACTATAACCATGAGCAACCGTGTGGAAGAAGTTTATCGAAAAGAATATTTGGGCATCTCCCTTGAAAATGGATTTGTTCTTGCAAATGAACAAGTGGAAGCCCCACAACTTAGCAACAATCTGAGATTGGAACAGAAGAGAATTAGTTCAGATCAGGATGTACCCCCTAGGAGGGTAAGAGAAAATGTGGGAATGTCCCCATCGGAAGCTGCTCCTACAACTCGGCATCAGCCTCACCACCATCACAGAAGAGGTGGCATGCGGATGGCTGCTCAATTGTCAAGGGAAATGACCACCATGGCTACAAACATTAGGGACATTGATAGTCAAAACATGGTCATGAGAGAACTTATAGCGTAATGCAGAGCCAGGGAGGCTTCCCCATTCCTCTCTATGCCCCTTAGGAATATTACGACCAAGATGAGAAAGTTCAAAGTCAAAGGGCTGTACCGGTAGAATACAGCCGAGGTAAGAGCCCCATGGAAAGGGAAGTAGAAGTTGATGTTTCCTCCAATTATGCTGTTGGCTGACCCATCGAGGCCCAGCATAACCAGGACAAATTTTCCACCAACATATGAGCCTGAACAAAGACCTCGGAGGTCTAACAGCGTCTTTGACAGAATTAGCCCCGCAATACTGAGGCATAGGCAACAGCAACAACAATGCGAGCCTCGGAATAGACCACAGCCCTCACCTCCAATGTCTCATCAACCAGAGGAAAGGCATGAGAATGCCCCCCGTGCTGATCCGCCTAGAAATAGGCACCAAAGGAGGGAAAATGAGGCTAGGACCCAGGCTAGACCCTCTCACCAAATACCCAGGTATGAAGCCGAGGAAAATAATGACTTAGATAAGCAGCAGAAGTCTTGTGACTTGGACGATAATGATGAAAATCTGCCATTCTCAAGGGAACTAAGAAATGCCCAGGTTTCGGGCCACTATGTGATGCCCAAGATACCAAAGTATGACGGGAGAGGCGATCTGGAGAAACACCTAAGTGCTTATAAAACTCATATGAGACTTAGAGGTGCCACCCCAGCCGTGAAGTGTAGAGCTTTTCATTTAACACTTAGTGGAGAGGATGAAATCTGGTATAGTCAATTGCCACCTGGAAGCATAAGGAGTTGGCCGGAATTCAAGATCACTTTTCTAAAGAGGTTTGCAATGAGCAAGGAGGGAGAGGCCCCCATCCAACGTCTTCAAGACATGAGGCAGGCACATGGGGAATCCCTAAAAAAGTTTTTATCGCGTTTTACCGACGAAATGACGTATTGCGTGCAAGTTACCAATCGTAAAGCTTCGTTAGCCTTAAGAGGAGGTCTGAATATGAACACCCTGTTCTGGAGGGACGTGCAAAACCAAGATCCTACCACCTGCGACACCCTGTTGGAAATGATAAGGCGGGAGATTATTAATGAAGAATTAATTGAACACCGAAATTGGGCCAACAGAGGCCTCCCACCTTAACAAGGACAATGCGTCAGGAGACCGACCTCCCACCTGATGGACTACCAGATGAACCCACCTGGTGGTGGAAATTTAGGGCAAGCACTTGCCGCCGCCACTTTGAACGCAACTCAACATTGGCATATAAAGATGTCAATCCAACAGCTACCGACCCGCAAGTAGGGACTTCACAATAGGCCCTCGGTAGAGGAAGAGGCCGGGGGTTCGTGTTCAGGACCTAGGAATAGGCTTAATTAGAACCCCTCCCCCCCGATTATTGTACGTACTACCGCTCCTACGGTCATGACGCGTCTGAGTGTCAGGAGTATGCATACCATAATCGACGAAAAAATCCCCAAGACAGGAGGAATGATTCACCGCACGCGAACAGGCCCACGTCTGGGAACGACCAGTGACCTAGGCGTGAGGAGACTGCTCCCCGCCAGCGAGATGTCTCCTCTCGTCGAAGAGAACATGTCGCGAATAGAGCTAGGGAGGGACACAAGCATCAAGAAAATCGCCATGCACAAGAGAAGGGCCCTATTCACGAAATAGATACCATATTTGGAGGACCCTACGTGGGAGGAAAAACTCAGAACGCAAAATAGAATTACGCCCGAGAGGCCAAATGACTTCCACTGACCAGTTACATCGTAGACAGTAGCTCCCGAAGAAACCGAGTACCATCCATCGTCTTCACCCATGAAGACTCTAAAGGAGTTCACTACCCCCATTATGATGCTTTTGTGGTAAGGGTTGTTGTGGCCCGAAATGGACTCAAGCAAATGCTATTAGACAATGGCAGCTCTGTTAACATCCCATTCGGGTCCACCTTTGACAAGATGATCCTGGACCACGAGGTGATGCCCACCACCACTCCTCTATATGGATTTACTAGAGATAATATCACTCCAAGAGGAAAGATAACATTGGCGGTAAAGATAAGAGAGTCCCCCTGAACCATCATGAACCTCATGGAATTCCTTATTGTAGACAATCGGAAGGCCTACCATGGAGTCTTGGGTAAACCAGCCTTGAAGGAGTTGGTAGCCATAACTTCCATCCACCACTTATGCATGAAACTCCCAAATGAGAACGAGGTAATAACAGTGAAAGGTGACCAAAGAGGATCAAGAGAGTGCTACTTAAGCTCCATCAGAAAGGTCGAGCCCCGAGACGTACATGCCATCTTGATTGATGTAGATATGGTAGATGTCCCAAGTGAGGCCCCTTCCGAACGAGAGTGGATGTTGACATGATCAACGTACCTCCTGAGCAGGAAGAACTCTCCATAATCGATGAGATCAATCCCCATGTGATTGAGCACGAACCCCAACCAACTCCGGCTGAGGAACTAGAAAGCTTCTCGATCGACCCCCGTAACCCCATGAAAGTGTTGAAAGTTGGCATAGGCCTGAACAACGACACAAAAGAAAAATTGAAAGACTTTATCTGCAAAAACCTTGATGTCTTTACTTGGATGCATGAGGACATGGTAGGCATAGACCCCAAGGTCAGCTGTCACCACCTAAAAATAGATCTTAGGGTTGTCTAGCACAGACAAAAGAGAAGAGCTCTCAACCCAGAAAGATATGAGCCTCTGAAGGAGGAAGTACTGAAGCTAATCGAGAATGGCTTCATCAGAGAGGCCATCTACCCGAAGTGGGTCTCCAACCCAGTGCTAGTCAAGAAGCACAATGGTAAGTGGAGGGTATATATTGACTTTACCAATCTCAACAAGACATGCCCCAAAGACAGCTTCCCACTTCCAAGAATTGATCAATTGGTAGACTCCACCATCAGGCATGAGCTCTTGAGCCTCATGGATGCCTACTCTG